GTAATATTAACAGTGTGATTCAATAATTGAGGAATATCAGTACAGTATGTCTACAGAAAGGGCTTTTGAATCACTCTTGTCACAAAATTACTCTTCATTTATTCTGACAATAGAATGTAAATGGTGTCAGTATCCATCATACTGATAATGGAGGTTATGAGATATTTGATTCTCATGCAAGAGACGAATATGGTAGAAGCCATCCCTCAGGTACATGTGTCCTTTTAGAAGTACCATCTGTTCAGGGCTTAGTACAGTATTTCCAGACTATACACTCCCTCAGTGACAATTATGAAGTCAGAGGAGTGCAGATAAGTACATATGAAATAACTGCAGTGAACAGTTTGAGAGAAGAACACAACTGCTCTTGAAAACAATGCTCTCCTGTAGGGTTTTATGCAATGTGTTACTAAGTAACAAAGTCTTGTAGTTATTAGAATTCCAGAACCCTATGTCGCATAGCTGACCGAGGAAATAAATTATATTGTAACATGGGCATCAACTGGCATCTAAAAAGTAAGATTTATACCCGAGTCTTAATGTTTTTGGAGTTGAGATATCAGTCCAAATTAAAGCTCAAAGTTATGGGATGTTGTCCAGTGGTTTCTGTTGTATCTTAGGAAATTCAAGGACGAAATTATAAACAAACCAGCAATAAACATGAACATTCCAAGATCTTTTTATTCCTGTTCTTTTCTGCGCAGGCGCATCCATGTACACGTAACACAACCATGATGAAACTTAATATAATGTAACACAAGTATAACAAAACAAGGTGACGATATAACAGTTTCATTTAGAAAAAAAAGTTGGAAAACTTAATTTTTAACAACTACAGTGGAAATACAAGGTTATTGTTTTTATAGTGGCTTGCAAGTTACTGTTAGGTATTACTTGTATTTTTCAACAAACAGTCAGATCAAAGTAGATATTCTCCTTATTGACACATGAAGATACTTGTGAACTTGTAATACAACAAATGAAAATAAGTGGTAGACCATCATTAGAACAAGCTATTTCTAACATTAATATTGTCACAAAGAAACTTAAAACAGGTATTGTTTCCTATGAAATACAATTTTTGTCTTACTCATCTAACATGGACCTTCATCAAATCAGACACATGCAAAAGCACAGACGAAAATATAATTATGATAATTTGGAACCCGCTCCAAAAATGAAAAGACTGCTACAGATAAATTTTAGAAACAAAAGCAAATCCAAAGTTAGACAACAGCACAAGAGTGAGACAATCCCAACTATTGATATCTGCATCAATTAATTCAAGGAGAAAATCAGGGAAAGTCCTTATTAGGTATAGAGTGTTTTCAATCACGTGACCAAATTTCTTTATCGTCATCGTAACCGAGTTCATCCGTCATGTTGATGTTCCATGATAATCACCTGTGAGTATTGTGACAGGAAACATTTAGAGCACATTTTACGGTTTTGAGAAGACAATAGTGTAATATTTATATTTTCTTTATCACGGTCCTTTGCCTTGTCATCATTTTCAATACACCAAATTTTAAAGACTGGTATAAATGGTTTCTCATTTTAAGGACATCAAATTGCATTGTTTTAGGGTGTGCTTCTCGGGCAAATATTTCTTTTAAGAACATCAAATTTCCGCGGGGCAACTATTAGCCGATAGTTCCTCGACAGAAACACTCTATTGTTTAAATATTTTGCGCGGAGTTACTTTCTAATTGTTTTTGGTCGATCAGAAAGCAAGTAAAGTAAAGCAAAAGCTGGGCTAATTTTAACAAGGGCTACATTCTGCACAGGCATGTAACCACTACACCGATCCAAACAGCCAAATGTCTCTACGTAAATAAGTAAAAGTGACTCAGAGGTGAGTCTGGAGGCGGATATTTTTTCATTTGTTTACTTCTTTGTTAATGTATTCCATGGCTATGCTTAACATAACGTCCACAGTGAACTCGAAAGAATCGCCGGATTAAAAGCGTAGTCGTCCTTCGTTGAATCAGTGGCTCACGCTAATCATGTGACTACTAGCCACTTCAAGCACCTTTCACGTGCATCTCGTCACGTTCTTTTCCTTCTTTTTTACGATTATTGTTTTACAGTGTGACAAAATTATCCATTTTTGCTCTAAAACGTCTACAAATTACTATTTGCAAAATTATATACATTGTGATTAGAAAAGAAAAACATAAAAGACTG